TTTAATATTATATCATATCGAATACACTATATATAATATAATAATATTATATATATTATTATAATATATATATATACAGTATCGGGGATCCCTGTCCTCATCCTGGAGGTTCATAAGCCTTAACTAAACTAACAAGCTGTTTGATTGGAACTTTTTTACATTTTGTTTTCCTATGAAAAACCTTGGAATGTTGTGCTCCTTATGAAATTCAATAAGTTAAAAGATGCCCCCCCCCCCCCAACATGTTTAAGAGCTGAAACAGTCAAACCATTCAAATTGGTCCTGTATTTAATTAGAGGTCCATTAAGGCTTCAACTGTGTAAATGAGAGATGGGCTGGAATAAACATCAGCAGGTGTGTGGGCCTCCAGGATGACGATTTGGAACTTCTGGTCTATAATGTTCCTGGATTCATACTCTGTTTTTAACTTTTAAATCTATATATTAACACGTTAGTCTTTTTCAGTGCTTCCTCATCATGTGTAGACAAATGTTTTGACAAAATCACCTAAGTCTGTTTTTAGAAGTATAATATTCTGACTCACTGCTTTATGTTTTATATCTATACTTTACTATTGCTGCCTGCATGTAATACAGTATGAGAATTCATCTTTTATGACAAACCTATCAAACCTATCGAAAATCGAAATATCCAATATTATAAGCTTAGTGTGTGCATTATAAAACTGATGTTACTTGTTTAAACAAGTTTGTTAAGCAAGGCCTAAATCCACACTGATAAAAACAATTCTAGCAAACTAAACCAGACGTCACAATTTCCATGTTTGCTGTCTCTACGCTATCATTTCCCAAACGTAATGTGCAACAGAAATAAGATTAGTGTATTGTAATCTTATTGTATATAGTCTATTGTAGTATAAGATTTGTCTATTTTTTCCTGGTTTAGTTCTTTTATAAATCTACAACTATCCAATAGCAGTCACTGCTCTCATTCTAAATGAGAGCTGAGCTATTCTGTCTAGTAGTCTATGAATAACATCCATCATTCCTTTAAGTATGGCTGGGAAATTACCATCAAGGAGCAAAAGAGCTGTTAGCGGTGCCGGATATATTTTGCTAAGCAGGTCATGACCCAATGTGACTGTAAAAAGTGTCCTGCTCATTGCAGTACTTGAGCTGCAAGTCTGAAGCAGGATTTAGTGTAATGAAACCTGCAAAGTATCAAGTTTCTATGACAGCATTAGTTTAAGTTTGATTTCATGATTTCAGCAGGTACCCAATTTCAATACAGTATATGGTATGAGCTTTTGGGGAAGATGAGCTGGAATTATGGGATATGTTTCACATGAATGATGAAGTGGATTGTGCATTGACGTTTCAGGTCTTTCAGGGACAAGATTCCTGGGACAATAGTAATTTGAATTATGCAATAAAAAGGCTGTCAGGCAGCCTGTTCTGGTTGCTCATACAGGAACACCATTTCATTATATGTTAATGTTGGCGTCACTAGAATTATACCTACCTATGTCTGGAGTAAATTGGTCAGACACATGGAGCTAATTAGTGGTGTGTTTAATTTAAATAAGGTTTCATGGTTTTAGTCAGTGGTTGGGTTTTAAAAGCATTTGGTTCAGTGGTTTAGAGTTTGTTAAGCGAGAAAATGGGACTTCTCCTCTGAGTCTTTGTTTATAGCCTTTATAAAATCTCTGCTAGAAAGCCTCCTACACCATACAGTGTTGGCAGCATGCACTTTGTACTGTATGTGCTCAGTTCCTTGGAGCCACTGTACATAGTTTAAGGGTGGGGTCTATCACAAATGCCTTGAACAGGAATAGTGTGCAAATCAGATGTAGCTAGAGTTATTAATAAAATCTCGCAAGTTTTAACTCAGTTCATATAGTGGCTACCAAGGCAGGCAGCTTGACGCATGATAACTAAACTGCAGCTATTTTGACATACATAGTGACAGAATGTTACTTATTTATAGTAGAAAAGGAACAAGTAAAGATGTATTCCATGCTGGAAAGAGAAGAAAAGAAACACAACGTTTTGGCTGTGGAGCCATCTTTCGGTGTGATCCTACTTGATATATTTATGGTATGCTGATTACAAAGATAATGGCCGTGTTTCTCAAAATAGTTATACTGTATAATCCCATTGCAGGACACAAAATGAATCTGGCAACTTTTCAGGAATAACATTTCTAAAATTTTGGTGGGTGATGAAGCCAATACAGTGTAGCTGGTCAGAAGAATCAGACAGTGTCTTTGATACATGGGTCAGAAAGTCATCTTTGTTGATGCAGCACATAAATTATCTAATATTTAATAGTTTTGTGGAACAAAAATACAATAAACTTTCATACACTTTTGGTTTTAAAAGCAAGCACCTCCTCCGAGTGTACTATGAAATTCAAATCCTTATAATGAGAGTGCATGTGTAAATGCCCTTTTATTTTTGCCTAATGGCATTCTTTCTTATAGCTCACAACTTTGTTTCTTCTATTAACATGGACATTAAAGGGAGTCAGAGGTCAGAAGGTGTCATTCAAGTTACACATCATTACATAATTTCATATCACATGATACTTCTTACAATCGTCTTTGCTGTGTCATACAGTGACTAGCAATAGTGTTCAGACAAAGAAAAACAAATCGAAAGATATAAATTGATAATTAATATGAAAAAAACTGAGTCACGATTGCGTAAGTATTCAAATCATTTCCTCTGCCGAGTCTAAAGTAATTTAGGTGCACACAATTTCCTTAATGAGCCATACAATTAGTTGAGTGGCTCTGTCTGTAAGCAATAATAATGATTTACATGATTTCAGAATAAATATATCTATCTCAGTCAGGTAGTGAATTTCAAGTAAAGATTAAACCATGAAGAGAAAGGAGATTTCAGAATTGCTCAAGGACAAAGTTATAGAAAAGCACAGGCTAGAGAAGACAAATTTCAAAGGCTTTCTTTTAGCACTGTAAAGTCGATCGTTAAATTTGTCCGAGTAGTGTATTGTACTACCAGACACTGCCTAGGTCAGGCTCCGAACTGAGCAGCTGGGCAGGAGGAGACTCATTAGGGAATGCCGCTGTGAGACCAACAGTGACTTTGAAAATGTTACACAGTTCAATGGCTGAGATGGAAAAAATGTTCATTAGTCAAAGGAGGCCTAGATAGCAGTGTGTCAAGAAGGAACCAATACCGATTAAAACATTTCACATTCTGCATGTAACAAAGTGTTTAACTGATAATGCATAAATGGGGCAAAACAATGGTCTAAATGTGAAATAGTAAATCTATTGCAATGAAAACAGTGTATCTACCACTCAACAAAATCTCAGTTGTCTAGTGTGGTGGTCGCAGCACCGTGTTATAATTCTGTTTCTCATCAACTGGGACTGGAAAGCTTGTCAAGGCTGATGGGAACATGTGTGCTTGAGTCTGCAGCAGACCGAAAATCAGGATGAAAACTGAATGAAAATCAACCTTTCAGTGAGATAATGACCCAAAGCACAAGGTCAAAGCTACACTAGAGTGGCTTAAAAATAAAATATTAAGTTTAAAAAGTGTGTATGCATAATTAAGCAATTTCACAAAATGGGACACCTTAAGTAGAATCTGAATTCATTACAAGGCAATGTGCAAATAGACTGTAAAAATTGTTAAATGTTTTCAGGTACAATAGCAATACTGCACTCAATCTTAATGCCATAAAACATGCATATACAGTACAGTATATACTTAGGGACATTAAAAACACAGCAATTGGGTACAGGTAGTGATAACACTTCATGTGGTTTTAACACTTAATGCTACAAATATAGTGCTTCTCTCAAAAACCCTTTAAACAAACACAGGTCTCCAACTTCCATACTGTAGCTGACAGTTGAGGAGTCATAGTAAGAGTAAAAGCACAAAACTGCTCTGCCCCTTAGGAAAGACACCAGTCCATTAGAGATCCACAGTGAAATGGGGCAAATTAGAGCAATTAAAATGACTGTGTGAGGACCGTGGAGAAGTGGCCAGTTCTGCAGACACAGCAAGAATAAACTCTGGAACTGGGAGCCAGTGCTAAGAGCCACTCCTGTATCCCCATTAACTCCCATTATCCAAATTTAAGCCACTACTCTTTCACATTCTTTGTTCGAGCTTATTGTCATTATACTCATACACAGGTATATGGTGCTGTATAACGAAATGCTATTTGTGTAGACCTAACCTGAGAGGAAGCACTTCATGCTGAGGGCTCAATTCTAAATAACAAGATTCATAAGAAAATATTAAAAGAACTAAAATGTTGCATATGTGTTTTCTTGGTAACCCACCCTATGCTATGCTTTAATTTTAATTATAATAATGTCAGGAAAACAATGTAGCATTTTAAAGACAGAGTGAATACTTACATTGTAGAATATTTCAGGACAAGTTTTCAACATTTCAGTGTTTGTCATTTTGTCATTTTTGAAAACTCCTTTGAACATACTATGACGATAAAATCATGTTTTAGTTCACAAAAAGGGTAGTGTTAATGCAATTAAATAAAAATGAACTGCAACACAAAAGCTCAAATCACAGATAACAGGGAGTCCATAAATCTAAAATAGCATTATCTTTCTACTGGGTAATTAATTCAAAACATTGTTTTATTTTTGTCGCCACTCTTCATTAGGAATCAATAAAATTCAAGTATGTATGTAATTTATGAACATTTTAGATATCAACTAGTATAAAGCAGGGAGCAGGGCGACCTGACAATAAGCTGTCAAAATGACTTAAAAAAACAATTGGCTTCTTAATGCCAATTGATATATTGTCTTACAGTACTTTGAGGATGGAGGCTTACTGTACGTTTGTGTTGGACAGGAATGTTTGTAAAGTGCAAAGAGAAGCAAAGTAATAAAACGAAAAATCACGGCTTTCCCTTACGTACTGTACGCATTACTTATGTAATTGTATGCAACTTCATACACAAGAAGCTTTATGCTTAAAACGTACCATCAAAGTCTGTGGCTCACAACTCTAGTGGGTTGTTATTGGTGTTTCCCGGGATCTACGTCACGCTTTTTTTCTTCATGAAGCTCCTTTTTTTTTATTCCGAAGGGGTCCCAGCAAATAAAGACAGCTCACATTCCCGTTTGGACGCAAGATAGTGAGCAGCAGGAATCCCCGGGCGAAGATAAGGCAGTAGGAGTAGCTGCATTTCCCGAACCCGGTCGTTTCTCCCTGACACGCTCCGTCCTATGTCCTGCACTGTACAGTACACGCCCGGTTGTTGATGAAAACGAGCCGTGGATTTCAGCACCGGAGCTGTCCAGGCAGAGAACCACACTGCAATACAGTATTCTCCGAAGAATAAAACCTGCACAAATCTGATAGTTTTACCTAGGCTTTTGAAAGACGGAATTTTATTGGGAATTACGTTAATGCATACGCGCAAAATACACACACCAAGCCTTGGTCTGAGATGCTGAGTGGACTTTGCTGAGAAAAGGAAGTCTCAACTAAGGAGGTCTACGAAGTCATTTTCATCCCAGGTAGGGTTGGAATTAAATTGATGCTGTTGTATATGATACTGTATGTCAGATTAAATATTTTAAATATGTTATGTTAAGTAGAACAGTCTCTGTCAAGATAATCTCAGCACAAATGCATCTGAACAAAAAATGTACAAGTCATATTGTCTCGTAAAGAATGCGCAGGATTTATTTTTTATAGGTTCCCGAGAAAGTGGCAAGGAAGGTGCAAGACACGTCGGGAATGTGGCATTCGTCTTCGTGGTGTTTGTTAATGAGCCGGATTAGAATAGCCGGAACAGAAGTAATTGTACATTCCAAAAATGAGACTTTGGTGAACTCAAGGTGGATTTTTTTTTTTTTACTGCAGTGGATATTTACTGGCGGAAGGGCGCTCTGACATGAACATAGCTGTTAAAAAAGAATTTAGGTCACCTTCTTAATGCTGTTAGTGACTGAGTGTGGAAGCTTGTGGGACCATCATTTAATGTAGCGGTGACCGCAAGTGTTACTAGGAGTAGTATCGTATTTCGACTTCACACTCTTCCCTCGGACAACAGTTAATAACCCCCCATCCCTCCCTCCCAACCCCGATAGAGGCAGGTTCGCCGTATACTGCTCGCCTTTGTATCATATCTAAACAGCAAAGGAAAACATGCTAGATTTTTTTTTTTAGATTGAGAGAGACATATTAAGGTATTTTGAACGAATCTAAAACAGCCTTAATTTTATTAGCAACATACTCAGAATGGTTAAATTTACAAAATGACAATTCAACCCCAGAAATTAATATCATATTCTTTTTCTAGAGTTGTGAGACACTTGTAGTAGTTCTTAACATGGAATGCACAGCAATCTTTCTGTCCTTAAATTATTTACATGGTAAATATGATTAATGTTTTAGAAAACAATGTAATAGCTGATTTGTAAGCAAGAGATTCATGTATTTAATCCCCCAGGTCATTTTGGAAAATATTCCACATCTTTCACTGTATGATCAGTCAGTATTATAGAGGCTTCACAGTTAGTTAGCATTCAAAGGTAAGAAGGTATTTGTAAACACTGGGAGCCTGTAGGTGAGGTAGCTCATGGATGACCAATATTGAGTGTTACCATGTTTTATATCACTACTATATAACAATTAAGTGACACGCGGCTTCATGAAATATTAAGGTAGTTTGTAAAATGTAAGCTAATTCTAATTATCATTGGGAAGGTTTTGTTGTTTGCTAGGAATGCACTCCAGAGCAATGCTTAATCCTCTATAGCTCTTTATCAGAACACCCTGGACTATTGTTATAGTGTTGATAAGCATTCTTAGACGGTGCACATCAGGAACAATGCCTTACTTTATTGCATTATTAGACTATGAGCATGGAGGAAAGCGCATTTAGGTAGGTTAAGCCAGTATTTTTATTCCATGAAAGCAGACATAATGAAAGTGAAAAAGAAAGGCCTTATCGATATGGCAACTTCATCCCAGAAAAAACAAATTGTAGGCAAAATCCTGGAGCAGACATTTCAAGGCTTTCATGGACAGCTGAAAACTCCTAAGAGCATGGGTAGAATTTTTGAATACCCTGCAGTATGATTTTGAATAAAATTTTCCACCTTTCTAAAATCTGGAATTTGAAAAGCTTTTGCTCCCATAGAGGAGGAAGTCTTCCCAAACATTTGTGCAAGGTCTCATTTACTTGTTAGCATCTCAATGTGGTCAGAACTAAAGAGTACCATTTACAAACTCTGGCATAAAGTGTATCTTTGCACCACAGAGAAGGCTGTTTTTTCTTAAGGCCTGCATTCTTTACGAGTCTGTCTTATAGAATCCAGAGCCAAGGGTGTTCACAGCTTTATTCAGAAGGCCCTTCTGTCTGTACTGAAGAGCATATCCCACTCACAGCTCATTGGTTGGCTTGAAAACAATCCCTGGCAGGCAATGAATAAATAGATGGGCTTCTTTTTAAAGATTTATTTAGATTTAAATTTTGCCCTCCAGAATTAGCCTCTTGATATTTGACATACAGTTCACAATGAGAAGTTCAACAGCATTTAAAAGCTGAGGGATGCAACCAAGTCTACATTTCAACTTCTCACAGATTTAGTTTTAACAAATGATTTTCACAGCACCATGACACTACTTTGTACTTCATTAACTGGGTACAAAAGATTTGGAAATCTATATAAATACTGGAAATATGTATAAAGTTCTTCTGTTAGATGACATTCACTTTTTCACTTGTAAATATTGATTAAATGTGGTCGAAAGAATTTTAAAATCTAGAATATGTAGCTCAAAGACACCACAAAGGCAATCATATTGTAATATGGTGTTTGTTTCCATTACCTTAAAACAAACCACGCAATCTCACTTTAAAATCATATACACAGAATGTCTAAGTGAAGACAACTGAGTTACTTCTTCCATTAGTGTAGAGGTAAAATATTGGAGAAAATTACTTTAAAATGTATTTTATTCAAAACATAAAAATTAGTCAATTAAATTCAAATATTTTAAATGTCACCATTTGGCCATAAGAAATAAACCATCAGGTTTGCCATCCATATACTGTACATCCACATGTGCATTCACTCCAGAAAATACACCAAAGTTCTGCTGCAAGGACAGTGATAGGGTGGAGGCAGAGATGGAGAATGATGAAGTGGAAAAGACGTGTTTGTCATCCTTATGTACAGTCTGTGACGTACTGTATTTGGTGAGTCCCAGAGTTAGTCCTGTTGAACTGTACTTATAGACTCCATTTAGTACAACCAAGGCCCCAGCAAAAGACAGTCAGAAAGTAAAAGACAGTTATAAAATTGAATATTGTTTCTGTTACAGTGGATACTTAAAGCTCTGATAAAACATCGATTTCTTCATTCTTATTGGAAGAAGTGATGAAAATATATGTTTGGTCCTCATCATTACTGTATTATTTAAGTAAACACTAGTCCTTACTTCTTCATAAGCAAGAGCTATATAGTACACCAGCTGGGATAAAACCTCAGAATACGACCTACTGTAAACCTCAAGTAATAAACTGGAGAATTTAAAGTTACTGCCACTTACAGTATTCTGTCCTTCTTCTCATTTTTTCTGCATTCTGAAAAATGTTCAGTAGTTTTAGGTGTGTTAGGTGTTAGACTCAGATTGCATTCAGCATTTACTGCATTTCCATAATATTGTATTGTTCTCAAACAGTAGGATTTACTATTCTTTTACAAATGCTTGCTGTCAAGTGAATGTTGATGAACTACAGTATACTGTACAAGAATTGCAAAATGCACTTCTTTCTTTAGAGACAAAAGTGTACTGTATCAAATTAGATTGTGACTGCTTGTATATACAGTATACCACATAAAGATAATTTTAGTAATTTAAAGATATTTGCATTCATTTCTTTGAATTTCCATCCCTCTTTTTATAGGAATATATTTATTAAACGTCTGAAACCTGGTGTCGCCAGATAAGCATTTGAATCATAGACAGAGGAGAATTTAGTACAGTATATTTCTAGAAGCTTACGAAAAAGAATATTTGAGATAATATGAGAATATTTAGTTTAAGAATGAAGAAACTTGAAGACCTCCAGAGAAAGTTATAGCAAGATTTCTAAAGGCCCAAGTAAAGTAATTTAATTTAATTGCTTACACTTATTTATAAACTTATATAGCACTTTTCTGGACACTCCACTCAAAGCACTTTACAGGTAATGGGGACTCCCCTCCACCACCACCAATGTGCAGCCGGCCGGATAATGCGACGGCAGCCATAGTGCGCCAGAACACTCACCACATATCAGCTCTCAGTAGGGAGGAGAGCAGAGTGATGAAGCCAATTCATAGAGGGGGATGGGAAATGTGGCGAGGATGTCAGGGTTAAACTCCTACTCTTTCTGAGAAACACCCTGGGATTTTTAATGACCACAGAGAGTCAGGACCTCGGTTTTACATCTCATCCGAAGGATGGTGCCTGTTAACAGTATAGTGTCCCCATAATTATAACGGGGCATTAGGACCCATATGGACCACAGAGTGAGCACCCCCTACTGGGCCCACTATCATCTCTTCCAGCAGCAACCTTAGTTTTTCCCAAGAGGTCTCCCATCCAGGTACTGACCAGGTTCACGTGTGCTTAGCTTCAGTGGGTTGCCAGTTGTGAGTTGCAGAGTGATATGGCTGCTGGCAAGTAGTGGTATAATCAGTGTCATATTTCTCCTGCCATTCAAACCAGTTATTTGTTTTATTTCAGTTGATACAAACAAGAAAACCTCTCTAGAGAAAATGCATTGGCAAGGAATTATATCCAAGTGTTTTTAAAATGTATAAAGTTCTTCTGTTAGATGACATTCATTATTTCACTTGCAAATCTTGATGAAATGTGGTTGAAAGAAGTTTAAAATATAGAATATACAGTTCAGAGAAACCACAAAGGCAATCATATTGTAATATGGTGTTAGTTAGATGGAGTTGATGGGCTTCTGTGTGTTTTAACAGTATTGCTAATTACCTTGACTCCTACTATCTGATCTTGCTGCTTCTGTTGATTAATATGAATTGATTTTTTGCACTTTTTATAGATCTATATTTATAAGTAAAAATTATATTATGTTCCACAATTAAATAATGATTTAATGTGACAATGATTTCTTTTTGTGTCTTACCTCTGTTTTAGTTACACAGTGTTGTTCAATAAATGTCATTTACTATGCTGCCTTTACAATAGATACAAGGCAGAAATTAAAAGTATTCTTGGAAAAGGAATTATCGTACCAATATTCATAAAGAAAACAAGTTTGAGTGGGGAGCTGTGCCAACATGCACTGGCTGCAAAGAAATAAGCAAGTTCCACACTGAGAAGTAAAAAGTAAAACACAACCTTTCAGCTTTTGATGCTGTCTTATCTCTGTTGAGGACACCTGAAGAAGGCTCAGCAGGTGAAATGTTCTATTTTTTTCTCTCTTTCTACTTCTCAGTGTGGAATTAACATTTTCTTGTATGTTTGTATACATAGCCCAGAAATG